AAAGCACTAGATAGCAAGGCATCTACTCAACTTACATTTATTCCCAAAGACAGACCGTGGTCCCTCTAACGTTTGTGATGGGTTAATAGTGAAGAGAGATCTGCTGCTGCTTCTTAATGCCACTCCTTCCCTTCCCTCCATATTGTAACTCATGGGGTTATTACAAGTCTGACTTGGTACAGCAGTAATTATAACAATTATAACAACAATAACACTTATTCAGCACTACGTGAGGTGCGTGCTCTGCTCCAAACACCTTAAATTTATTATTTACTCTTCATATCAACACTGCAACATAAATACTACCATTCCCACTTTAGAGCAGTACTCTGAAATATCTCTGGAATATAACCCTTCCTGAATATGCCACAGACCCTTGTCTTCTTTTAACAGACAGTTGGTACCTGCCTTGGTGCCCAACCCCTTACCTCTCAAGGCACCCTCTATACTACCTTCAATTATTATTCTACAGTGCAAAGTTCATCACAGTCCTTGCTTAAAACCGTAACTAATTCGTTTTTTTCTTTCTTTTGGAAACAGGGTCTCGCTCTGTCACCCAGGCTAGAGTGAGTGCAGTGGCACGATCATGGCTACTGTAGCCTCAAGCTCTGGACTCAAGAAATCCTCCTCCCATGTCAACCTCCCAAGTAGCTGGGACCACAGGTACACAATACCATGCCTGGCTAATTTATTTATTTTTTGTAGACATGGAGTTTCATCATGTTGCCCAGGCTGGTTTCAAACTCTTGGACTCAAGAGATCTTCCCACCTTAGCCTTCAAAGTGCTAAGACTACAGGTGTGAGCCACCATGCCGAGCCTTAACTATTTTCTTACTATCTTTTTTTAATTATTATTATTGAGACGGAGTTTCGCTCTTGTTACCCAGGCTGGAGTGCAATGGCGCGATCTCGGCTCACAGCAACCTCCGCCTCCTTGGTTCAGGCAATTCTCCTGCCTCAGCCTCCTGAGTAGCTGGGATTACAGGCACACGCCATCATGCCCAGTTAATTTTTTGTATTTTTAGTAGACACAGGGTTTCACCATGTTGACCAGGACGGTCTCGATCTCTTGACCTCGTGATCCACCCGCCTCAGCCTCCCAAAGTGCTGGGATTACAGGCGTGAGCCACCGCGCCCGGCTTTCTTACTATCTATAGGATTTTACATTCAAAATCCGTAACCCACACAAGAACTTTCACAACTTGAGTGCCATGTAATCTCTACTCTTAACTCCTACTTCTTCCTTGTTCTACCTCTTTCTAGGCACCAGCCTTAACAAATTCCTCACTCTCCTCACAAATGATATTTCCTCTGCCCAGAATGCTCCCTGCCCCCATTTGCCTGCCTGGCACAAACTCCTGTCTCTTCAAGACTGTTCAATTGTCAGCTCCCTTATCAAGCCTTCTCCAACCACTACAGAATTTCTCCTCTGGGTACCCACTGCACTTATCTAGTAGCACTTATCTCACAACACTATTTCTGAAAGAAGTCTATTTCTCACCCCCTAGAGTATGGGATCCATAAGAGCACTGTCCATTGTTGGCACATAATACATGTCCTACATATTATGTCTACCTTGTATGAAGTAGACATTTAATAAATAGTGCATGAATCAATCAGACATGCACCAAAACTTGTTCAAAACTACCATCTCAACTGAAATGAGACAATATATGAATCTTGTAAATATTTCCTTTTCTTATTTTCTTACCCAACATCAGAACTCAGGGGGTTTTACAATTTTCCTTACCACCAAAGACAACTATCCCATCTTCATTCTAAATTAGTTCAAAAGACAAAACTAAAAATCCTACCACTGCCCTTATATGTGAAAAATCCTAAATTATACACTAAAGCTTTTATATAAACATTTTCTTCTTCAGTGACTAACACTAACTGGAAAAAAAAATCCTGCCTGAGGGACTTGGGGGAATGCAGACACATTACCCATTCTACCCAGTATAAGCCTTCACACTACAATATGAGCAGAATTATGTAGTTTCTGCAACTATAACCTATTCAGGTTCTCTAGGCAGCCTGAGAAATCCCCTGTTGCTTGAGATGAATCTATAAGCCTTCAAATGTTCCAGTGCACATGGTTTTGAATTACTGTTTTTCATTACTGATGTGCTTTCTACTGGACCCTGCTGTGAGATAAAGTGGAATTATAGCAGCATTACTAGGCTAAAGAATGATTGAGAGATATACAGGGTTGTAATATACTTCTTGAACCTGTAGGCAGTGAGACATCTTTGAATCTTAATGCAAGAGAGGAAAAAGTGAAAAAATAAGGTGCAGCTTATCTGCAGATCACACAGATGAAGAATACTTTGCCCATGTCTGTGTGTAGCTAAATCCTACATTAAATACTCAGGCTTAGGAAACTGAAGCACAGGGATGATAGTGATAATGTCTGCAGTCAAACAATATTTCTTATGTAACTGATAAACACAAAGGTGATTTCAGGGAATGCTATCCTAAAACGTAAATTCAGTTTCCTTGAAGAGCCATGGGTGAGGTCAAGGACAAGTGTGCTACCAAACAAAGAGGAAAAGGAGGCTGACTGTTTTAAAGGAAGAAACAATTATATTCAAGGAAGGGTGGTAAGGAGGACAGAATGAGACCTGAGAGTAGAAAAGTTGCCTGTTGTACCAAAAATGTGACCTTCATGACAACATTTAACAATGAAAATTAATAGCTGTGATCGAATTCTCAGACTGACCCCTGATCACCTTTTACCCTGGTATAAGGGTTGTAGGTAGAACCTGTGGCTGTGATAATGTATCAATCCCTACGAATATTATTATGCCATATGGTACAGCTGACTTTAAGAGAGAGAGATTATCCTGATGAGCATAATCTACACATGAGCTGTTTAAAAAGCTAAGTCTTTGGCTGGTGGCAGAAGTCAGATCTGACACATAAGAAGGACTTGAAGACAGAGCAGCCATACATCAAGGAAACGGCGCCTTCAGACCTACAGACACAAGGATCCGAATTCTGCTAACAACCTGAATGAACCTGAAAGGTGATTCTTCCCAGGAGCCTCCAGATGAGATACCAGCATGGTCAACATCTTGATTTTGGCCTTATGAGACCCTAAGCAGAGAACCCACTCCAGCCCACTAGGTATTCTGACCTACAGGACTATGAAACTACTAGAGAACTGTGAGATGATACATGAGTGTGGTTTTAGGCTGCTAAGATTGTAGTAATTTATTATATAGCAATAGAAAACTCATAAGGCAGGGTAAAATGATAACCTGACATTTTAACAGAATCTTTCACATCAGAGATCCCAAAAGCACTTGATATATTTGACATGAGCTGTAAAAAAGAATAAATTCACCTTCTCAAAAAAAAGAAACAAAACATTAATACCAATTTTTTTTCAGAGGATGAAGTCTCGCCTTTAGTCCTGAATCAGGACTGAAGGCAGATATCCTAATGAACATGTCCTTAGATAATATCTGATCCATATGATATTTATTTTGAACAATTCGGGAATAGCATATGATTTGGAGTTGAATAATAACCCAAGCACAAGTGGAAAGCTGTGCTGCTCCACCGCCCCCCCTTTTTTTTTCTGAGATAGGATCTTGCTTTGTTATACAGACTGGCTAATTTTTGTATGTTTTGCAGAGACAAATTTTCACCATGCTGCCCAGGCTGGTCTCAAACTCCTGGGCTCAAGTGATTCAACTGCCTTAGCCTCTCAAAGGGCTGGGACTTCAGGTGTTAGCCACTGGGCCTGGCCTACTGCTCTTTTTTAAACCCTCAAATACTGTGCAAATTACTATCAAACTGTAGTCAAGGCTGTTGTTCCCACTTGAGAATGCCTGCTGAAAGATTGGTATAGTTGGTTAGCAGGTGGTCAGTTGGTTAGCAAGCAACCATCAAAATGTCTTCAATTTCAACAAGATTTTTTTTTTCCCACTCAAATAACTTTTCCTCAGTGACTCCCAGGACTGTCAACTATTTGTTCTATTGGGTTGCACAAATCAGAGCAGATACTAGATCCTACACTTTGTATCACTGCTCCACTTAACACTGTGATGTCCACTAGCTGTGGCACCTGAGGCAAGTTACTCTCATTAAGCTTCCATTCCTTCATCAGCAAAATGAGATATAAATATCTACCTCATAGGGAGGGACTGAAGATTAAACAAAATGAACATAGAAGGCATTTAGAACACTGTCTAGTAAAATGCGAAGCTCAATAAATATTTGCTATTTTACATATCACTCAATTATCAATTGAATGAATAAAAATACAAAATTAGCTGGGCATGGTGGCACACACCTATAATTCTAACCACCCAGGAGGCTGAGGTATGAGAATTGCTTGAACCCAGGGGGCAGAGGTTGCAGTGAACCAAGGTTGTGCCACTGCACTCCAGCCTGGGCAACAGAGTAAGATGCCACCTTAAAAAAAACAAAAAAAAAAGAACCAATTGGAACTTCAAGAGATAAAAAATAAAAGAGCTGCCCAGGCATGGCGGATCACGCCTGTAATCCCGGCACTTTGGTAGGTCTAGACTCAGATCACTGAGGCCAGGAGTTTGAGACCAGTCTCACAAACATGGTGAAACCCTGTCTCCATTAAAAATACAAAAATCAGCCAAGTGTGATGGCGTGTGCCTATAATCCCAGCTACTCGGGTGGCTGAGGCACTAGAATCACTTGAACCCAGGAGGCAGAGGTTACAGTGAGCTGAGATCATGCCACTGCACTCCAGCCTAAGCAACAGAGCAAGACCCCGTCTCAAAATATATACATAAATAAAAAAGGAAAAATGATAATTCCATCAAATGGGATTAACAACAGATTAGACACTTCCCAAAAAAAAAAATCAGTGAACCTGAAGACACAACTATAGAAACTATACCACCTGAAGCAGCCTGGGTGATGGGATCAGTCATACCCAAACCTCAGCATTACATAATATACCCATGTAACAAACCTGCACATGTACCCCCTGAATTTAAAATAGAAGCTGATTCCAAAGTGCCAAGTTTAGTTCAGGGCAGCCTTCCCTGTTCTGTTAACTAAACTTTGGGACATTGAAATGGGATATGGGAGATGACTGGTTAGAAAACATTATTCGTTTGCCTGCTTGGCAACGAATGCCTGCTTGGGTCTAGCACATCAACAGTTAAAGATGCCCAGAAGAGATAGGACTGAAGAGGCTGAAGACTTACTAAGCTTGAACTAACAGACAAGTTACATTCAGTTTTAGGACCTGAACTAGCAGACAAGTTACATTAAATTTTAGGAAGTTGGACCTGATAAGCTAAAATAAAAAGAAACTGAATTATTTTCATACATGGCTACTTTTCAGAAATAAAATAAACAAAATAGAAGCTGAAATTTGTTTTAAAAAAGAAGCTAAACTGATTTTTAACATTATAAAACAGGATAAATAAAAATTCTGAATAAATATTTAATTTTATTTTATTTATTTATTTTTTTCATGAACCATATAGGAGACTTAAGGATTATTTAACTATTTTTGAAAAACTGAAGCAGGAAAAAAGTCTGGTCAGAATCTCAGTAACTTGTGTACCAATATCAAGCAATTTTTTTTTTTTTTTGAGACAGTCTCACTCTATTCCCCAGGCTGTGCCCCCTGCAACCTCCACCTCCCAGGTTCAAGTGATTCTCGTGCCTCAGCCTCACATGTGCCACAACACTCAGCTAATTTTTGTATCTTTAGTAGAGATGGGGTTTCACCATGTTGGCCAGACTGATCTCAAACTCCTGACCTCAAGTGATCCACTCACCTCGGCCTCCCAAAGTGCTGGGATTACAGGTGTGAGCCACTGTGCCCAGCCTCTGATACACATGTAATCAGAGTTCCAGAAGGAAAGGAGAAAAAAGGAAAGAAAAGACATTTGAGAAAATAATGGCTGAAAATTATAGAAAACTGGAGTGAAACAGCAAGACAGCAGACTAGGAAGCTCTAGGCCCTCATTCCCCCAAAGACATATCAAATAACAACATATGAACCAAAGTAGCATTGGGAAAACCCTAAAAACCAGTTAAGAAGTTGCAGGAACCAAACATACACCTAACCATGAAAAGGTCACACTTCAAAGTGGTAGAAAATGTTGTGGCATTTTCATTCATCCTTGCCCCACTCAATCTGTCCCACCTTGTCCCACCAATGAGAAGAAGCTGCCCAGTTTCCAGCTCCTCCCTCAGGATGGAAGAAAAATAGAACTAGCTTCAATGTTCTGGCTTGTCTGGGGCAGCCTGAGGGACTGGTTTCTGGTGGCATAGTGTGGATATCAGGCTGGAGGCCACTGAAAGCAGTAGCCGGCACATGGCAGGGTGAGAGAGTGCAGATCATGAGTAACTTGGACAAAAGGATTGCTGGCAGAGGAATACAACAGACCACCTAAGAGTCCAAGTAAAAGCAGGGGTGAGACTCAGTGAAACTAGGGCATTTAAAAGCAGCTACATATACAGGGTAACTTTAAGAAAAAAAGCACACACTATGATCTAGGCATGGTGGCCCATGCCTGTAGTCCCAGCTACTTGGGAGGCTGAGGCAGGAGGATCACTTGAGCCAAGGAGTTCAAGGCTACAGTGAGTCATGAATATGCCACTGCACTCCAGCCTGGATGAGAGTAAGGCCGAGTGTTTAAAAATTGTGTTTAATAAAAATGGCACATGCACAGGCCCAAGGAAGACATATCCCCAGAAAAGGTTTGAGAGGACTCTGGGATAATCTGAGATAATTTTTTTTAATTACCAAAAGAATTAAGCACAACAGTATCTTACAAGTCCTTGAAAAAAAAAAATTCATAAACCCATACCAATAAAAATTAGATAAATTACAAAGTAAGGGGAGAAGGTAGGTCTCCTGCTTATAGTAGGATGTAGAAAGCTAACCACTAAATGCAGAGAGAATGCTTTAGAGTTGGAAAATGATCAATTTGCAACGATCATGGTTAAAGACTGGATCAGGCAAGAATCATCAATGGATGCAGAACCCAAGGAGAGATGTTAATGAGGAACAGGATATTTGCACAGTCTTTAAGTATCTCTCTGCAGATTGCTTATTAGTTGCAAAACAAAAATAAAATACAGTCATTATACTTAGGAGAAATTGGGTAGCATTCTGATTCAAGTATAACATCACCTATGTAAGGCAGAGGCAGATTACATGTCCCCAGATGTGACAGCCTGAGGACACAACATTACCTATATAGTAGTCTGACTGAGAAAGTGCAACTTAAAGCTAAACACAAGAAAACATAAGAAAAACACAAAATAAAGAATGCTCTTGAGGCTGGGCATGGTGGCTCACACCTGTAATCCCATCACTTTGGGAGGCCGAGGTGGGTGGATTGCTTGAACTCAGGAGTTCGAGACTAGCCTGGGCAACACAGTGAAATCCCATCTCTACCAAAAATACAGTTAGTTGGGCACGGTGGTGCATGCCTGTAGTCCCAGTTACTCAGGAGGCTGAGGCGAGAGGATCGCCTAAACCTGGGAGGTTGAGGTTGCAGTCAGCCGAGATAGTGCCACCACCCTCCAGACTAGGCAACAAAGTGAGATCCTGTCTCAAAAAAAAAAAAAAAAAAAAAAACCCACACAGAATGCTCTTTCTACAAAAAAAAAAAAAAGCTAGATACTATATGGGATAAATACAAGCAAAAAAGGCTAAAGAGGACTATATTCTTCGGTTATGTCAATAATATAAAATTCAGAAAGGGTATGAAAATGTTCCTGTTAAAAGAGGTTGAAGAGATATAAAAACTAAGCTGGGTATGGTGGCTCACATCTATAATTCCAACACTTTGGGAGGCTGAGGCCAGAGGATCACTTGAGGCCAGGAGTTTGAGATCCTCCTGGTCAATATAGCAAGACCCTGTCACTACAAATTAAAAAAAAAAGAGAGAAAGAGAGACAAAAAACTAAATGCAATGCCTGATCTTACCCTGGATCTTGTACTAAAGGGGGAAAATATTATAAAGGACAGTATTAGATCTTATGCCATTAAAGCTTATACTTTTTTATGGTATATTACTTATACTATCTTTATACAAATTTTTGTATATTATTTCCAATAAAAGAAATTTTAAAAGCCTGCCAGATAAGAATGACAACAAATTTCTTTTTTAATTTTTTTTGGAGACAGAGCCTCACTCTGTTACCCAGGCTAGAGTGCAGTGGTGTGATCTCAGCTCACTACAGCCTCTGCCTCCCAGGCTCAAGCAATTCTCCCTGCCTCAGCCTCTGGAGTAGCTGAGATTACAGGCACCCACCACCACACCAAGCTAATTTTTTAATTTCCCCATGTTGGACAGGCTTGACTCAAACTCCTGACCTCAAGTGATAACCCTGCCTCAGCCTTCCAAAGTGCTGGGATTACAGGCATGAGTCACTGACCCCAGGCAACAAAAAATTTCTTATTAGAAACTATACCTGGCCGGGTGTGGTGGGGTGTCATTCCAGCACTTTAGGAGGCTGAAGGAGGCAGATTGCTTGAGCCCAGAAGTTTGAGACCAGCCTGGGCAACATGGCAAAACCCCATCTCTACAAAAAATACAAAAATTAGCTGGGCATGGTGGTACACACTTGTAGTACCAGCTACTTGGGAGGCTGAGGCGGGAGGATTGCTTTAGCCCGGGAGGTGGAGGTTATGTCGAGCAAAGATTGCACCACTGCACTCCAACCTGGGTATCTGAGTAAGACTCTGTCTCAGTAAAAAAAAAATTTTAATAAAAAATAAAGAAACCGGCCAGGCGCGGTGGCTCACGCCTATAATCCCAGCACTTTGGGAGGCCGAGGCAGGTGGATCACAAGGTCAAGAGATCGAGACCATCCTGGTCAACAAGGTGAAACCCCATCTCTACTAAAAATACAAAAATTAGCTGGGCATGTTGATGCGCGCCTATAGTCCCAGCTACACGGGAGGCTGAGGCAGGAGAATTGCTTGAACCCAGGAGGCAGAGGTTACGGTGAGCCAAGATCATGCCATTGCACTCCAGTTTGGGTAACAACAGCGAAACTCCGTCTCAAAAAAAAAAAAAAAAAAAGAAATTATACATGCCAGAAGACAGTGAAATCATGTGTTCACAGTGTTGAAAAAATAAACTATCTACTTAGAATTCTATAACTAGTAAAAATCTTTCAAAAAAGAAGGTGAATTAAAAATTTTTTCAAACAAATAAAAGCTGAGTGAAATTATTTCCAGCAGATCTGAACTGTAACAAATGTGAGGCTGGGCGCGATGGCTCACGCCTGTAATCCCAGAGCTTTGGGAGGTCAAGGTGGATGGATCACCTGAGGTCAGGAGTTGGAGACCAGCCTGGCCAACATGGTGAAACGCTGTCTCTACTAAAAATACAAAAATTTAGCTGGGCATGATGAAAGGTGCCTATAATCCCTCCTACTCAGGAGGCTGAGGCAGGAGATCTCTTGAACCTAGGAGCCAGAAGGTGCAGTGAGCTGAGATTGCGCCATCGCATTTCAGTCTGGGCGACAGAGCAAGACTCTGTCTCAAAAAAAAAACAAAAAAAAAGAAAGGTTACAAGGTGTTGTTTTTATAAAGAAACAAAACAGACAACAACAAGAAGACAAAGGCCAGGAGGAGGAATAGATAATATATTGTAAGGTTCTTGCATTAAACATACGGTGGTGTAATATGAAGGTAAACTGTGATAAGTCAAAGACATGGATTGTAAACCTTAGAGCACTTATGTAAAAATAAAAAAAACAAGTATAGCTAATAAGCCAATATTTTTGATAAAATTAAAAAAATTTTAAACCCTCCAAAAAAGAAAAAAAAATTCCCTTGGGGGCAGTTGACAAAAAAATTAAAAAGAAATTAATTAATTAATTAATTAAAACCCTCAATCAAGCTGGGCACAGTGGCTCATGCCTGTAATCCCAGCACTTTGGGAGGCCGAGATGGGTGGATCACCTGAGGTCAGGAGTTCAAGACCAGCCTGACCAATAAGGTGAAACCCTGTCTCTACTAAAAAAAATTCAAAAATTAGCCAGGCGTGGTGGCATACACCTATAGTACCAGCTACTCAGAAGGCTGAGACAGAGAATCACTTGAACCCAGGAGGTGGAGGCTGCAGCGAGCTAAGATTGTGCCACTGCACTCTA